TAAACTACAGGCATACGCTCGGCTCCAGCTGGGGGAAATACACAGACGCGTGTGGATGTTTTTCTAAGCAAGAGTAGGCAACATATTCCCTTTCCTTCAGACATATATGTTGGTTACCATAGCAAAGTGAGTGCAACTGTGGTCCGAGGAGCTTCGCCAGCAGTCCCAGCACACGGCCACAGATTCCTTCAGTTCCGTAGGTGGCACTCTTCCCTCTCTCACTGACCTGAATCGCGAGAGCCTAACCTTGGGGGCCAGGAGCCTCCACAACCAGGCTGCAGACCAATCACTGTAATTAAGGTCCCCAGGGCTTTGTGCATATGAGCAAAACTGGTAGCACCAGCTTCTTGGTCACAATTCACTCCTGGTAATTACATTCTGTCTAATAAAACTCCTCCTGCAGTGTTAACTAGGTAAGTAAGATATTTCTTGTTTTTCCATTTTAGAAGCTACTGGGTAGAGTCGCCTTACAGTTAAGCAGCTGCCTTCCCTGGCCAGCCCCTGGGGAGACGAGTTTCAGTCGTGGGTAGAGGACGCCTGTGCTTCTGTTAACCACCTTACCGAGGCGGGAGAGACTTTAATGGATTAATAGTTGTCAAGGGCTTTCATATCTTAAGATGAAAGGCACTGCGTCCATGCAAAGCATTTATATCCAGGCTCTGCTATAATACAACAGGAACTCAATTAAAAAGTAATTCAATTTCTTATGTGAGTGTTTGAATACAGACCACTGTTTTGCTGGATGTGACAGACATCCTGCAGGTCCAGCTGAGGCGAATTTTGAATCTATGGCCTCTTCTACCCTTTCTCCTTCTGCCTCGCCCTTCTGAGGCTGACCAAATCTGAGGCGGCATCTACAGCCACAGAGCACCCGACAAAATAATTTTTTTTTTGGCTCTCGAAATCTTATTTTCCAGATAAAATTTGTTTTTTGAGTAAATACAACTTGGCAATAAAGATATCTCCAGTAACAGACAAATTTCATGACGGTCTCCAGGAATAGCCACTGAGTGTCCAATGTAGTTTTACAGATAAACCCACCAGGGAAGCCCCAAGTCACTAGGCACGGTGCCTGCAAGTCAGCAGGAGCACTGTGACCACACAAACCGGATGAGCAGAACTGAGGTCATGACGTGTATATGGCTCAAGAGAATACGTAAGCTGCACCCTGCCGACATCTCCTCCATACTCAGTAGCGATGGATATAATCTGTCTTCCCATGGTACTTGGGTTTAGGTCAGTGTAAGGATGAGGGGTCTGGATTAATTACCTACATACAGTCATGCCCTTAACTATCAGAATACCGCCACATACTAGTATTCCAGGTGGTGAGTTTCTGTCTACTGCATGGGATACATAGTCATGGGGCACTTGGGAAGGTAAACTTAGGGCTCCTGACCATTGGAACGAACTGTGTTGTATAGTCAGTATGCTGTTAAAAAGGCTAATTTGAGTCTACAGTTCTTGACTCCAGACCTCTTGCAGTGTCCTGCACTTCTAGCATAACTCTGACGCAACACTCATCCAACACATCTATCGGAAACTCCTATGTGTAAAAGCCAGCGTTGGACACAGGTGACGCAACCACGAACCAAGAGCATTGCCTGCAGGGCTCTGTAGTCTAGTAAAAGAAGGAAACAAGCACCTAAATAAAAGTGAAAAATGTTAAGAAGAAAAATAAAATAGAACAAATGGGGGGTGGCTACTTAAGACAGGGAGGTCTGAGTCCGGAAGTGTGTGATGGAGGAGCCTGTGTCTGTCTTGTTCATGGTGGGAGTCAGTACTCACATCGTGAGGCACACATATTGATGCCAAACACATAGTGACTGGGTGGACGAAGTGGATGAAGGAATGAGTCTGGACTGAAGAAATATACAAGAATGTCTCTCCCCCCTCAGGAATGTCTCCTCTCAAATCTGGAATGGGCCTAAAGAATAAAACAGTACTACCCTAAATTGCTTGTTTTATACTAAAGAAACTGAGGAAAGACTGAAGAGGTCAAGTGATTGGTACTGGATTTTTGTTGTTAATTTTCACCCAGGATATTTTTTCCCATTATTTTTATTTTTTATTTTTTTAGAGAGAGTGGAAGGGAAGAGGAGAGACAGAGGGAGAGAAACATTGATGTGAGAGAGAGACATCGATCAGTTGACTCCTGCGCATGCCCCGACCTTGGCCGTGGAGGAGCACGCAACTGAGGTATGTGTCCTTGACTGGAAGGGAAGCCGGGACCCTTCAGTCTAGAGGCCAACACTATCCACTGAGCCAAATCGGTTAGGGCTGATATCAGAGCTCGGTCCTGGGGTGTTTGATCTATTTTTTTCTTTTTTTCAAACTTCTTCCATTGTCATGTGCTTCTGCAATAAGAAACCTTAAAGGAGTCCTTTGAGTCACAAATAAGCAGCAATAGTTACTCGATTGCTTTATTTTTTGGTTCATAAGTTAGCTGTCTTTTACTTAAGATCCCAGTAAGATCCCAGCCTTTATCTCCCAACCAATTTATTACAACCTTTCTCTGCAACATTTTCAATCTAGTTAATACCTGCAACAGGTGTCAAAAGCTTTCCTTTCTTCTCTGATTAAAATAAAAAAATCCTATGACAGATTTTCTCCTGAACTAACTTCATGTGCCTTCTATTTACTCACTCACTCACCAAGTGCCAAGCACTGTGTTAGGCACCACGTGTACAAGATAAATAAGACACTGTCCCTGCCCTTAGAGAGCTCACAGGCCATGATATGGCTCTTAATTGGATCACAATAATAGTGAGTGCAGTGACTGAGACCCACAGGTACAGAAGAACGGAGGAAAGCACCTACTCCAGCCTGGGGAACCAGGGAGAGCCTGCTACCGGGATTTTACTAGATTGAGAAGGTTGCTGAGAAAGGTTGTTAATAAATTAGTTGGGAGATAAAGGCCGGGATTTTACAGCACGATCCTAAATTAAGCCATACAGGAGGGCAGGAGGGGCCAGATAGAGGGGGAAGGGCATTCTGAGCAGAGGGGTTAGTATGAAGAACAGAAACTGCATGCTTTCTGTAATCTGGTGCTGCTGGAGCGCAGGCTAGAAGAAGCAGCCGGAGAGTCCCTCTCAGGGGTGTGATTACACAGAGCTTTATATGCCAATCTAGTAAGCTCTGAAACTGCTTTACAGACAACATGGAGCTAAGGAAGGGTTTTAAGCTGGAATGCGAAATTATCGGATTTGTGGTTCTGACATTCTGGGTACCAATGGATTTGTGGGGACAAGGGAGAGGCAGGGAGACCAGTTAGTAGGTTCAGATGAAGGAATGTACATGGAGCAATGGCTGAAAGATCAAGAGGGGTTGGATTCAAGATAATTTAGGACATGGAGCAATGGCTGAAAGATCAAGAGGGGTTGGATTCAAGATAATTTAGGACCTGGTCATGGAATACAGGGTGAGGAAGTAGGAGCACTCAGGGTGACTTCTAAGTTTCTCATATGGCCGACTGGCGGGATGACAGTGCCAACAACAGGGAGAGAAAAGTAACAAGGCCCAGAGCTATAACACTAAAAGTGGACACTAAGGGACACTATGGACTTTGGGTGATAATGGTGTGTCAATGTAAGTTCATTGGCACATATGTACTAGTACCACTCTGGAGCAGAATACTGATAGTGGGGAGGCTGTGCCTGTGTATGGATGAGCAGGAACTCTAAACTTTTCGCTCAATTTTGCTGGGAACCTAAAGCTGCTCTAAAAAATAAAGTCTATTAAAAAAAAAAAAAAAGGCCAGAGATGTCATGGAAGGTGCTGAGTTCCACTTAAGATGCATTGAGCTCTTTGCCTGTGGGAGACCAAGAGGATATATTACACATGTGAGAATCTGATAAGACTCAAGCACACATCTAAGACCAACAGATATGGAAGTTCTCAGGTTAGAGGTGCTCCTATTATCTAATTTTCTTGAGACACAGAGAAAAGGAGGGACTGCATTCCAGGCAGGGAAAGGCGTCAGAGTGAAGGCGTGGAGCCAGGGTGTAAGCATGGGTGGCCAGGAGAGCACAGGGTTCGGGCAGCCCTGAGAGAGCGCCGTGGGTTTCAGCTGTTTCCCCTGCCAGCAGGGCCCTCACAGGTCATATTTCTCCCTGCCTGTCTTTGGAGTGCAGGTGTGCTCACACACTGGATATTCCTGCTGCTGAGTAAGCCAGATGGTTAACATGTTCCTTTAGCCAAGCAGCTATATGCATCCCACACACCTGCTAAAATGTTCCATTTGTCCCTGAAGGGAAAACAGAATGCGACCCAAGTGTGTTCCTAGACCGCACTGGTAAACTGAAATCTGAACTCCCCGAAGCAATTCTCAGCCAAGGATGTGTGTCAAAATGTCTGCAGCACCTTCTCGCAAACCCTTCCTCTGCCCCTGCCCCGCTCTTCCCACCAGGGGATTTTGATCTCGGTAGAGAGGGGGTGATGCAATGGTAACCTAGGCACGTGTGTTTTCAAGTGCTCCAGAGGTGACGGGAGAAATACTACCTTCAGGAGCCCGAGTCTGCCCTGTTTGATGCTTCCTAGGTATGATCTGATGGCATAAAAGCTCTTTCGGTCCACTGGCCAAAGATCAATCTTTCCAGCAATGCTTCCTGATCTTACTTACCTTGTTTATTTTTATTTTTTTCCTTCATAGCACTCACATTCATCTGGCATTATATTATGTATCCATTTAGTTTTATTTTTTATTTTTTTATTAGTTATCTGTCTTCCCCACTAGAGTGTAAATGTCCGGAAAGGAAAGACTGGGTCTGATTCACTGTTGTATTCCTAACACTTACCCTGGAGTCTGAATGAAGCAGGTGCTCAATAAATAAACTTATTGTTGAATGAATCTTACATTACCTGCTAATGCCTGTTACTTAACAGGGAACGTTCCTCAGCTTTAAATGTGATTATTCTTCTCACCTTTCAAATATAAGTAAAAAAACCAAACATCAAACTGAAATGTATACAACTATATGCTATAAATAAAATTTACCTACCTTAGCATAGTTTAATCTTCCTTTCTCTTGAGCCTAAAATAGAAAAGGAAAATATTAATTCATCAGTTCTTTAAAAATTTAGTATTTATGTATATATTTCAGTAGGTAGCCTACATATAAGACATGCAAACATAGTGAAAACTTGAGAGAACAGCACAATGAGCACACATATACGTTTTATCTAGATTTGACAGTAGCAGACAAGACTCTTTACCCCTTCCTGGTTTAGCACACATCTTTTAAGCATAAAACATCTCATACATAACCACATGCCCATTCTCAAAGTAAAAAAAGTAACAATAATGACATACCATCTAAGATACAACTCCATATTCAAATTTCTCCAATTGACCCTAGAATACTTTTCATAGCTTTGTTTTTATTTTACCCAAACCAGAATTAGTCAAGGTTCACACATTGAATTTGTTTTTTTAAAACTTTATTTTTATTGTTGACATATTACAGGTAAATCTATGTCCCCCCCCTCCCCCCCGCAACCCCCTGCCCCCACCCATTTCCACCCAGCTCCCTTCCGTCTGTTCATCACTCTGGCCTGTCTATGGGTTATGCATAATATGCTCTTTGGCTTCACCTTCTTTCCTCCAGTCCTCCTACCCCGTTTCCCCTCTAACCTCTGTCAGTCTGTTCTATATATCCATGCCTCTGGTCTTATTTTGTTCATCAGTTTATTTTCTTTATTAGATTCCATATACAAGTGAGATCATATGATATTTGTCTTTTTTTGACTGGCTTCTTTCACTCAGCATAATAATCTCTATCCATGCTGTCACAAAAAGTAAAAGTCCCCTTTTTAAAATTATTTTTAAAATTTTTTTGTATTTTTATTGATTTCAGAGAGGAAGGGAAAGGCAGAGAGATAGAAACATCAATGATGAGAGAGAATCATTGATTGGCTGCCTTCTGCACTCCCCCCACTGGAGATCAAGCTTGACTGGAATCAAACCCAGGACCCTATAGACCGCAGGCCAAAATGCTCATTCAACTGAGCCAAACCAGCTGGGGTAAAAAGTTCCCTTTTTATGGCTGTGAAGTATTCCAGGTGTAGATACTATCATTTTTCCTATCCACTCTGCGGATGGGCACATGTGCTGCTTCCAGATTGTGGCTATTGTAAATAACACTGCTACGAACACAAGGTGCATATTCTTCTGTTGCCTTTCTGATTAGAAATAAATTTTCTAATTTTGAATTTTTGGAATACATTCCCAGGGGTCACTGGTCAAAAGGCAGCTCCATATTGTTTTCCACTGTGGCTGAACCAGTCTACATTCCCACCAACAGTGCATGAGTATTCCCTTTTTTCCAAGTCCGTACCAGCACTTGCTGATTTATTAATGACAGCCATCCTGGCAGCTGTGAGGTGATATCTCACTGTGGTTTTAATTTGCATCTCTCTTATGATTTGTGACATTGAGCGTTCCCCCTACCCCTACCCCCATATGTTTATTAGCCATCTGTATGTCCATTTTGGAGAAGTATCTATTCAGGTCCTTTGCCCATTCTTTAATGAGATAGTTTGTCTTCCTGGTGTTGAGCTGTATGAGTTTTTTGTATATTTTGGAAATTTACCTCTTATCAGATGTATCGTTGGCAAATATTTTCTCCCATCCAGTGGATTCCCTTTTCATTTTGTTGCTGGTTTTTTTTTTTTTTTTTTTTTTCTGTTCAGCTTTTTAGTTTAGAAGTAATCCTATTGGTTTATTTATTTATTTTTTTTTGTTTATCTTGCTCTAGGAGATATATAAGCAAAAATATTGCTACAAGGGACATTTGGACTTTACTGCCTATGTTTTCTTCTAGAATTTTTGTGGTTTTGCAATTACATTTAAGTCTTTAATCCATTTTGAGTTTATTCTTGTGTATAGTGTAAGTTGGTGGTCTACTTTCATTTTTTTTGCATATTTTTTTCCAACACCATTTATTGAAGAAACTGTCTTTATTCTGTTGCATGCTCTTACCTCCTTTGTCAAATATTTTTGGGCTCTCTGTTCTGTTCCACTGATCTATATGTCTATTCTTATACTAGAGGCCCGATGCACAAAATTCATGCAAGAGTAGGCCTTCCTTCCCTTGGCTGACCGCACTGGCTTTCCTCTGGCACCTGGGATCTGGGCTTCCTTCGCAGCCCTGGCTTTGTCCGGAAGGTCATCTGATTTAATTAGCATATTGTACTTTTATTATTATAGATGTCAGAATCAGGCTGTTTTAATTTTGATGCCTTGTAATATAATTTGATATTATATTGTGACACCTCCAACTTTGTTCTTCTTTCTCAGGATTGCTGAAGCTATTCAAGATCTTCCTTGATTCCATATAAATTTTTGGAATATTTGTTCTAGGTCTATGAAATATGGCAGTGGTATTTTAATAGAAATTGCGTTGAATCTTTGCTTTGCATAGCATGGACATTTTAATGATGTTAATTCTTCCAATTCATGAACACGGTATGTTTCCATTTATTTATATCTATTTCCTTTTAAATGTCCTATAGCTTTTCTGAATACAGTTCTCTTACCTCCTTGGTTAAATTTATTATTTTTGTTGTTGCATGTATTTGGTTTTAATGTCTAGGTTAAATCTACACTAGTTCCTCTCTATTTTTCATGACATGAAAATAAAAACTATTAACTTTTTTCATAAAAATCATTGACTTTTTGAAGAGACCAGGACAGCTATCTTATAAAAATGTCTTTTGGGAATTTGTCATATTACATCTACATTGTGTCATTTAACTTGTCCCAATTTGCTTGAAAACTGGAAACTGGGTCTGAGGAAGCTTGCTTAGGTTTAGGTTAAGCATTTTTGATAAGAATACTTAATGAACTTTTATGTACTTCACATTGCATCAATTCAGGAGGCACACATTGCATCAAGTCAGAGAGAAAATGAGGTTTATAACCTTGGTCCTGATTCTTCTTGCTTCTTTACAATCTTTTAAAAATTTATCCAATATGCCTGAATTTTGTTTTTCTAATTTTCATAGTGTCATAAGACACTGCTCATGTATTAAATGTTAAGACCATCACACACCACTTAAAATGAAAATTGTGACTTGAACATTTTCTTTAAAAACATTAAAAAAAATTTGATTTCAGAAAGGAAGGGAGAGGGAGAGATAGAAACATCAATAATGAGAGAGAATCACTGATTGGCTGCCACTGGGGATTGCCCTGACCAGGAATTGAACCATGACCTTCTGGTTCACAGGTTCATGCTCAACTATAATACTGAGCTACAGCAGCTGGGCCTTCTCCTTGTCTCTTGCTTATTAGTATGGACTGCTCAGGTACAGCACTTGTTTTTTGTTGTTAATTCTTGCTGAGGATATTTTCCCATTGATTTTTAAAGAGAGTGGAAGGGAGAGGGAAAGACAGAAATATGGATGTGAGAGAAACATGTCAGTTGGTTGCCTCCTGCACAGCCCAGCCAGGGCCTGGGCCAGGGAGGAGCCTGCAACTGAGTTACATGCCCTTGACCAGGATTGAACCCAGGACCCTTTGGTCCCCAGGCTGACGTTCTGAGCCAAATAGGTAGGGATTAAATAATGCGGAGTTGTTCCTATTCTCAAACTCATTCCTGCAAACATCTGTCATCTCATGACTTTTAATTTTGTTTCTGTTCTAACAGCTCCTCTTCATTCTAGGTATTTCAATATTCTCATCTTCAGTATTTAACACAAAAGACATGTTAAAAGCGTTGAAAATAGTAATTGTTGAAAGTTAAGAAGTTGAGGAACTTTTTTGTGTCTTGAGATTGCAGGCAAAGGGTAGAGAAACCACATATTTACAATGACTTAGGGTGGACTTGTCCTTCTGGGAGCACTGAGCATTTCCCAGTTTGTCTCATGAAAATGAAAATCAACAGTGTTTTTTCAGGTGGTGAGCGTGAACCTAATGCTGTTTATAAATCAGGACCTCTAGAGTACTCCTATTATAAATTCTTATAAAACCTTTTTTTTTTTCATCACATACTTTGCACATAAACTAATCATCTTAGAGAATTCTATTATTTGGAAGTATTGGTGCTTACTTAATCCCAAGCTATTTTCAAACTCTCATTTTATTTTGTATTCTTAGTGTACTCTTTCACCCAGAGATACACTTTGATGGGGAGGATGACAGAAACCTCATGGCTGTAATCCGTATGTGTGCAGTAACAGCCATTAAATGTTTTGAAGGCTGAGAGACTAGAAGGTTACATAGAAATGGCAGCATGACCATCACAGCCATTACAACCTGAGCAGACTGTAACTACTGATAGGTAGCTTACCTGAATGACCTTTTTGAAATAACAACAGAAAACATTTTTATTGAATTTAGAGGGGAAAATAGAGGGAGATAAAGACATCAATGAGAGGGAATTATTGATTGGCTGCTTCCTGCATGCCCCACACTAGGGATCGAGCCCACAACCCAGGTTTGTGCCCTGATCGGGAATCGAATCGTGATCTCCTGGTTCATAGGTTGATGCTCAATCACTGTGCCACACTGGATGAGCCCAAATGACCTTTTATGTTATCAAACAAACATTCTAACATTGCAAAACCATTTCATCATGGGCTGCTTTAGCTTACACATAAAAGTACCCTTTTCTTTACAGAGCAAAATATAAATATTTAAGTTTTTGTAGGTACATTGTATATTATTATTATTTTTAAAAAATATATTTTATTGATTTTATTTATTTATTTATTATTTTTTAAAAATATATTTTATTGATTTTTCACAGAGAGGAAGGGAGAGAGATAGAGAGCTAGAAACGTCAATGAGATAGAAACATCGACCAGCTGCCTCTTGCACATTCCCTACTGGGGATGTGCCCGCAACCCAGGTACGTGCCCTTGACCGGAATCGAACCTGGGACCTTTCAGTCCGCAGACTGACGCTCTACCACTGAGCCAAACCGGTTTCAGCTACACTGTATATTATATTTCCAGCTGCTCTGTGGGTTAATTTATACTTATGTCATATACACTTCTGAAGTACATGTTCTGATAGAAAACATTTATTTTC